TCAAAAATTGCTGAGATATTTATTGCCACTAATTATATCCTATAAAACTTTGATGCTACTTTGGTAGACGGTTGCACGGATTTTGGCGATTTACGTTGGCGCAATTTTTGGCGCGGTTTTTACAATCGTCAGCCATCTTGAAAAACGCTGTTTTTACGTATAGTAAAGTATTCGAAACCTAAAAAAAAAAAAATTAAATATCGCTAAAAGTAATAGAATAATTTTTTGTTGAAAATGTCGTTTTTTAAGATGGCACGCAAGTGTAAATAAATGCATTTATTATGAGTATAAAATACTAAAATAAGGTTATTATTACTTTCATATAGCAAAAAAAGAGAATAAAAACACCGCCATAAAAACATTGTGCCAACGTTTAATTAGATTAAAATATTACTTAAATTGAATATCGAATTGAAAACCTTATACCAAAATTTAAAAGAATTAAAATATTACTAAATTCAAATACTTTAAAATACGTTATACAGAATATAATTAAAATTAAAACATATGTGACAATAATTATCTCAGCAATTTTTGAAAAACTGTATTAATTTTTTTAACAAAAATTGAAGTATACAATTATAAAGTAAAAGAAAAATATGTACTTCATTTTTTTTAGTCATTTAACCTGTCGTTTATTGACCACAAAGTACCACAAAAAAAATCGGAATCATAATTTAGGTATCAATGAAAAAATTTGAAAAATGTAATATCAAGTGCAGGAATAAAAAAATTAAAAAAAATGATAAATAGATAAAGCAATTTACAGCCAAATTAATGGTCAGGAAGATTAAAAATAACAAAAAAATTTGAAAAAAAAAAGAACTCCAATAATAGGTATTGTTTCTAAGATCCTTTAACCGCCCCTCCCTGAAGTACAAAGGACAAATTTTTGATTCCGATACCAATAATTCTTGGTACTTACCAATAACAACATTCATCTTTGAAACAGACATCTTTGAAGGAATTCGAAGATATGAATTAAATTTTAAAATGGCGCGGTAATACACAAATTTTCAGTAACCAATCAAGGAGCTGATTACACAATTTTAATGCACAAAAAGTTTTAATGCACAAAATTAAATTTTAAAATAAATTTAGTTTTAATGCACACAATTTTAATGCACAAAAATTTTAAGTTTAATGCACAAATATTCTATAACCAATCACAGAGCTGATTACATCACGGCTAGAAATAAAATTATTTAAATAATCATACATAATAAAATCATTTAAAAAAATGCAAAATTAAATTGATTTTTAATATTTAGAAGCCATTAATAACATTTAAAACACGGAATTTATGCATAATCAAACGCTTTATTTTTTAAATAAAATAACAACAAAGTATCGGTTACCATAAATAACGTATCCAGCAGTGGGTTTACCATAAGTCGTAATACTCGCCTAAAGAAAAATCGCCAAAATCTGTGCAACCGGTCTACCAAAGTAACACCAAAACTTATTTTAAAGGATTTTAATTTAAGTAATATTTTAATTCTTTTAAACGTTGGTATGATGTTTTAATTCGATATTCAATTTAAGTAATACTGTAATCCAATTAAATGTTGGCGCAATGTTTTTATAGCCGTGTTTACATTCTATTATATGAAAGTAATAATTTAACCTTACTTTAGCATTTTAAACTCTTAGTAAATGTATTTATTTACATTTGCCAGCCATCTTAAAAAACAACGTTTTCAACAAAAAATTAATCCATCATTTTTAACGATATTTATTTTTTTAAAGTTTCGAATACAGTCAAAAGTCTTTCCGGATTATAGATCATCAGTTTAAATCTGGTAAGATGTCATGCAGAAATTATAAAATTAAAAATATGAAACCGTAATTTATGAAATAAAGAGCAATTATGATCTAAAGGATTTCAGAATTTACAAAAAAAAGCTTAATATTTATTTGTTTACTTTATTAAACATTTCTTTCAACGCGCGCATGCGTAAAGCGTACATTACGCATAGTTAGAAAATTGCCACCAGAAAACTATTTGATGTGTATTCGTGATATTTATAATGACGAGGAATTTGATTTAAATCATATCAAAGACGGAGTACATCGAGATGAAATACTACATTTAGTAAGGAATTGTAAGCCGAATAAAATAAAAACATCTGCCCTGAAGATAAGGATAATGCTGACAGATCAACTTCCAGTTCATTGCGCGCCGCGTCGTTCCCCCCCCCCCCGCAGAGCAGCGCGAAATTGATAAACAGATTTCGGAATGGTTAGAGAATCAAAGGGTATGCCTTTATCCATTTTTTGCAGCAATTCCACTTTTTGTTTGATGGACATCGAAACATGATTTCGCTTTGTAGATCCTTAGGCAGCTCCAGGATCGAAAATTCTTTTTGATATAATCGAAAGTTCAAGCTTAAATTTATAAAAGTGTTCTAGCATTCTGCAGAAAAAAAAAATAAGCCGGATCCAATTAGAAGATTAAGGAACAACGCAATCTGCAACATTAACTGAAATAAATAATTAGATAATTTTAGCTTAGCTTATACCGTCCGTTATGCATTAAACGCGCATGCGTAAACGTATTATGCGCATGTGTTAACGCATTGTGCGTTGACGCATGCGCAGAAAGTTTGTAGCTTTGAGGTCCGGATTATGGACGTCCATATTAAAGACTTTTGACTGTACTTTACTATGCGTAAAATACATAAAAATAGCATTTTTTAAGATGGCTGACGACTGTAAAAACCGTGCAAATAGTTGCGCCAATGTAAATCGCCAAAAATCCGTGCAACCGTCTACCAAAGTAGCAGCAAAAGTCATTTCTGTGTTCCATCATTGGAGTTTACTTCAAATTGTTTAAGAACTCTCACAAGGTGTGGGTGAAAAGCGCGGGTATTTTTTCCTCTCGGAGGTCGGGGGTCATTTAGTGCTTCTTCTTACAATCGTTGAGCATCACTGCTTCTGACCTTCTTCTGCTTTCAAATCTTCATTTTTACGATGAGTTCTAGTATTCCAGGAAGCTCTAGAAATAAACCTTTCCTCAGCGATTTTAAGAAATTAGTGTCATAAATTAGTGATATCATGAAGCGGAAGAGAGATGAGCGCGTGCTTCACCGACCAGCCAGGAACAGAGTAACCAGTCCGGTTACTCTGTTCCTGACCAGTTTTTCCTAGTGTACAAGAGGGAGAAAGCTGGTAGCGCCCTCTCTTGGGCCAGTGGACAAATAATAATAATAGTAAAGAGTTCTACTCAATATCCCCCCCCCGAGTACCAAAGTTACGATGAAAAAATCAGTTTGCAAATATCTGGTGTTGAAGCGCACACATTTCCCCAATCGTGTGACGACTGGTGGAGCACTGGGAGGAAGCGTAAGGTCGATTGAAGGAGGAGCATCTGGAGAAACAGTTGGGTGCGGGGAGTGAGGAGGATTTCTGGCCACAGGAACCTGAGTGTTTGAAGCTTCGAAGAAGGCAGGCTTCAGTCGATCTATGCCCAGAACGGCTTCCTTGTCGCGCACGAGAACGGTGAAATGTTTATTGTTACGTGCGCAGACCTTGAAGGGTTCATCCCATGGAGGAGTGAGTGGTGGTTTTACCGCGTTGTTTCGCACAAACACATGAGTGCAAGTGCTCAGTGCATGGTGTACGAATGGGGCGGATTTGTTGTGGCATGATGTAGGAGTCTATAAATTTAATCTAATTTTTTAAACATTACTTATGCCTGTTAAATATTAAAATGCAATTTTAATTTTGCATTTTTTAAAAAAATGATTTTATTATGTATGATTATTTAAATAATTTTAATTCTATGCGTGATGTAATCAGCTCCCTAATTGGTTACTGAATATTTGTGCATTACCGCGCCATTTTAAAATTTTATTATTCATCTCTTCGAATTTCTTATGTTACGAAATGCATAGGCGCGATAAGATGGCTTTTCCGCAAAGCAGTTTTAGGGTTGCGATAAAATGACAATGGAAGCCAGGGTTTTCACATTTGGCGAGAAATCGTCTATTTGGCGACAAAATTGGCGATATGCCATGGACTGATAGAGAACCTTCTGGAACGAACTCTTACCGGTTTAGCCCAGAATATTTTCGAACACAAGCCGAAAGCTATATAAACCCTGCTGGTCCGCAGTCAGTTAGTGTCTCAGAGTGTGCTTCATCGTGAGGGAGAGAGTGGGTGCCTCGTCGAGAAGGCGAGTCAGAGTGCCTCGTCAAGTGCGAGATAGTTAGTTAGTATCGAATTGGTGTCTCGTCTAGCGAGTCAATCCGTGCGGAGTCGATCGAGTTGACAACCAGGCAGCCAGTGCCGAGTGGGTCGTTGAGTGCACCAAAAGAGTCTCGTAGTTTATCGCGGTTAGTGCATCGTCGAGAGAGCGTGTTGAGTTCCGGGAACTACTGAACCGAAGAGTCGGGAGCTGTGCTCTGTGTGTCGTCGAGTGCATCGCGAGTTGTAGCGCGGAGAGTCTCGAGAGTATGTGAAGTTCCGAGAATGACCAAACAGGGTCGGGAGCTGTACTCCGGTGCTTTGCAGGGAAGTTGTCTAAAATTGTTCATCTAAATTAAAACATCAATCTTAGATAGTTATTTACTGTTATAGTTCCTTTCTTGCGTTAGGGTTGCCGCAATTATTTTTGGCAGCACTAGCATCAACAATAGTTTGGCGATTTTTACGGCCCTCAAAACCGAATAGTAAAATTAGAATTGCATCTAATTTTTGTCCATATTAAAAGGGGAATAATACCTTCATTTTAAATTTTAATATTATGCTTTTCATTTTGTAAAAATAGCTTTCGTACTATTACAGAAACTGATAAAAAACTTCATACGCTAAAACTTGCAAATCTTTGAAAATGACTTGTTTTCCTCTAAAATCAAAAATTTCTCTAAAACGTTTCCAATGATGTTCTGTTCAAGATATTTATGTTTCTTTCTTCGGATATTCCTCGGAGAACAGCCTTGACGCCAAAAGAAGGAGAAACAGCTTATTATGATTTCCCTCTGAAGAGATGAAGAAGCTAGACATCAATTTTTCATTTTTCATTGTAAAGAAAGTGGCAACACAGATTTCTTAGAGTGTTGTGTAAATAAATGTCTTAATTCAAAAGCAGCAAGTTTTTATCTTCCTCGTCTACCTTATATTTCTTATCCTTTTAGGAAGGCTTGTTTAAAATGGTAATGATCATAAAAGTTATAATGGATTTTTAAATCATGAAATTGTTTTATATAACTTTTTTGCCTGCTTAGCTTTTACTAATAAATTTTACATGAAAATTATCTGAATACTATTTTTATTTTGGGGGGCGGTAATTTATTAAATGTTCCAGGGATTAAGATTTGATATAGAGAAACTCTTCTGTTAATTTAGTAATAGTAAAGGAAAAATTATAAAATTAACTATCGGGCATAAAACTATTTTGAATAACAATTACTTAAAAGCACAGAAAATCTTCAACTAGCTTCATATGTAACTAATAATAATATTTAATTATATGCTGTTATTTTTGGAGAACTTTTTTTTCTTCCTCTTACAGTTAAACTTTCATTGCGTGCACTAGTTTTTTTTCCTGTATTTGCCTTTTAAATCAGTAACTGTACAAAAATAGTTTGTGAGAAAAGTAACACTTTAATAGAATTAAACATGGTATCTAATAGCCATTTTAGCTTTCGAAATGAAATTTTAAATTGAAAAATCTATATATTTTTCTACGGCTTAAGTAATATTTTATTTATTATGACTTGGTAATTTATTCTAAGCTTGATTCAGGCTAGTTTGAATGAGCTTGCCAGATAGCTTTTAGTAACTGGCAGAAGCAATTTTTTTTTTTTTTTTTTTTTTTTTTTTTTTTTTGGTTTTATGAGGGCTTAGAAAAATGTGTTTTATAGAAAATGTAAGTTTTGCAGATTTAATCTGCACTTTATTTTTAGTGTAAAGCAAAACAGATTTTGTACATTTTCATTTTATATTTTGAACATTTAGTATATTGTTTTAAGAAATAAAAATGAAATATACATGTTTAAAATGTTATACCTTTGTACAGTTTTCAAAGAAATATGCAAAATTCTTACTGTGAAAAGTATTCATGCTGTACTATTGTCAACAGTTAGATGGCATGATGAAGGAACTTTGATTATATTTTTACAGATTAACTTGTGTACAGGAAATTTAAAATAAATAATTTGCCAATGTTATGCATAAAGAATTATTGTTGTTAAAATGATTAATTTTTCACTGAATTATATAAGAGTAATACATAAATAAATTAAAAAGTTAAAGAAAAAGGTACTTTTCCATTTTATCTGCGTAAGCGATAAAGTCGTCAAAAATGGTACAACTGATACCGAACGAAATATCCTCGCTGGTAATCTTTTATGCCTCATTTTCAAAACAAGTTGCAGCAATTTTTTTATCAGATTGATTATTCCTTTCAAAACTGCCACACAATTACATAGAATTTTTACCAGATAGTTCAATTTTATACCCTAAGGCCATTCGCGGTAAGTCAATTAGGATGCAATCACACCACTCACCTGAAGGCGAAAATATAGAATAGGCAGAGTCAAGGGTTAAATTAATTCCATTCTAAGTGAGAATGCACTAGCAAAAGTAAAGCACTGCAGTTTCCACATAATTTCTGAGTAAAGCTATTTGTACCAATTGAAACTAATTCTTGCATTTAAACTTGCATTCCAAATTAAGATTTAACTTGAAATTAAGGTACATAATTTCTGGGAGAATTAGATTTTTGTAGCATAGTTTACGCGAGATGAGATCTCTTGGAGTCACGTGATAAGAAACTGTGAATCAGGATGTTGTACCATGAAAACATATTAAATTCTTAAATTAATGTCTTTTTACAAATTTATTGTCTTTTTACAAAATTTTAAGTAATATTAAAATGTTCATGCCTTCAAAATAAAAATTCCCTAGAACTAACATTTGTTAAAATTTTTGGTACTATTCGGTTTCAAGGGCCGTAAAAAATCGCCAAACTATTGTTGATGCCAATGCTGCCAAAAATAATTGCGGCAACCCTAATAAATGCAACCAGAAAGGAAGTATAATAGTAAATAACTATTTAAGATTGATGTTTTAATTTAGATGAAAGGTTAACTTCATATAATACTTTTTTATTATTATAATTTATATGAAAAAAGCTAAACATGACTGAATGCAAGCATAAGAGTAAATAACTATTTCAGGTCATTATTATAATTTATATAAAAATTGCTAAACATAACTGAATGGATGCCTGCATCGCTATTTCGCTACCGACATATTGTTAAAGCATAATTTCATCTCTTTGGTTGTTCAAACGTAATTTTCTATAATGAATGATGCCTTTTCTTTGAAAATATTCTCGGTAAAGTGCAGAATCGCTCACTTATTTGATTGCTGCTTTTTACAAGGTTAAAAACAATTGGATTTATGTCAATTTTCTTTTACTTTTTAAGTGAAAATAGGTCGATGTGTACATAGATAAAGTCAAGGGTTTGCCCAGTGCTATTTTTGTGCAATTCTAGGATTTTTTTTAAGTGAAAATAGGTCGATGTGCACATGGATACTGAGTATGTGCAATTCTTAAAAACGCGTCAAGCAATGGTTGATTCTGCACTTTACCCAAAATTCTATTAAATTCTATTGCCAAGTTTTCATCATGGGCAATTCCCAAATTGTTAAATCCATAGGATATCAAAAAAGGACTTAAAATCAAAAGAGGATTAAAAAATTAAACTAGTATTTCAATGGCGTCTTAAGAAATATAGATCTACCGTCTTTTTCCAAAAATAAGACACTGTCTTACTTTCTTTTTTGGTCCAAAATGCGCTAGGGCTTATTTTCGGGGAAGGGCAAAAATAATAGTATATTTATATATTTTTATTTAATATTTATTTTAAACAGAATACAGAAATTTAAATTTATTCAATTACAGTCATGTCATCTTCTTCTGGAACATCGTCATAAATAAAATTCTGAATTATATTCTGATTTTCTTCCAAATCCATTTCCTGTTGAATCATTGGTTCGAATCTCTCACGTCTTGCGATACAGCTATTGTTAAATGAATACTTCTTGTTTAAGTAGCCTGTTCGTAGGCATTGGAAACATCAGTATCAGTTATTTTGTCCCATGAATTTTTTACCCATCAATCAGCCCTTTTGATTTTCGACTCCTTCTGTGGGGGTTGAAAAAGGTCGCTGCGTTGTATGTGTCTCGGGGGTTACGGTTCAGCCCAAATTTCACCCCGACAAGAGTTTGCCGATGTTAACGTATGATGATGCTTTTAATTTGAAACGAACTGTAGAGGTAAACAATCAATTTCTCGTAATATTTTGTTTCAAGCATTTCTCTGAAATACAAGTATTAGGAAAGCTAAACATATTATTACTTATACTTAATAAATCAACAGCATTTTTTAACGAATTCTTTTTGTCACATTATTTTAACTAGGGATTATTTTCGGGAGATGTCTTATTTTACAAAACGTTCCAAAAATCACGATAAAGCTTATTTTCGGAGGATGTCTTATTTTACAAAAGGGTCCGAAAATTACAATAGGGCTTATTTTCGGAGGATGTCTTATTTTCAGAAAAAGACGGTATATAAACTTATGTAATCTGAAATCAGCACGTGCGCTAGATTTGGCGAGTTGTTAAATGGGCACGTTTGCTAGATTTGGCGCTTTTGCGCATACATTTTCGCTGCAATTTTTTCGAAATACCTCGAAACCGAATAGTACCAAATTTTTTATGTGTATTCTGTTTGTTGTCATCAATAAAGTCTGCTTGGCAAGATTTACGCCGGCGAAACGGAGAAGTACCAAAAAGTATTTTCTAATAAGTGCACTAAAGCATATTTATTCTTTGTTTTTCATAAATCCTTAATGTTATTTTTTATATGTGTGATCATATAAGGTCATTTGGTATTCTAAAAGGAAGAGAATATTGTAGCTATAAAGTTAAATGCTTTAGAAGGTCAGCAGTTAATGTACTTTTCTGATAAATGAAATGTCCCCTTTGCTTTTTATTTGAAGTTTTCTTCCTCTCGGCTAAGATGTCACACATGGCCCAGGATATGTGTGGTCGCCATTTTGCGTTGGATGGCTTAGTTGAGAGATTTTTCCCTTTAAAGCAGTATGGCAATCCTTTTTACGTGGAAACTTTTTTGAGGCATGTGATTATATTTCATTGTGGTGGTTGTTCGGTGAATAATGGCTTTTAGTTCTATGAAGGAAGTTGTGGAGAGATATCAGCCATATGTTTTAGAGTGTTTGAGAAGATATGTTGTTGGAGTTATTAATGCAGCATTTGTTCATGGTTGTCTTCATGCTGACAGAAGTGGATTTTTGCAGTTTTTATGGGATATAGGACTTTTGAAGCTGAACTTGACATGCGAGAAGTGTGGTCTTATACAAAGATTCCGAAGACATTTAGTGTTTATGATAGATTTGTGTAGATTTGCAGAAAAAGTGTTGAGGGTGAAGAATGTGGTTTCTGAACAAAGTTTGAGGTTTGGATTCTGGTTTTCCTCCAGTAAGTTGACTTTAAGGGAAATTTTTATTGTAATGTTTGAAATGTTAAATCACAGAAAGACGTCTGACATAGCTAAGTTGTGCCATTTTCGTTCACATACTTTGTATGATTGGTTTAGTTTTATTAATGAAAATATATTGGATTATATATGTGATATGTCTGTCCTCACAAGTTTTTGTTTGAAATTAATATTTTGCTTTTGTGGGAATTATTTTAGATGGTAAGTGAATTTACTTTTTTATTGTTTCAATTTTGTAGAGAGTTATTTTAATTCTTGTATTGCTTTAATTTTGCTTTGTTATTTTTTAAAATTTATTTGTGTTGAAATTGTTTGTAATTATTGTTGTTATTTTAGTTTAAATTTAACGTCAACATTTTTGGTGAGAAGTGTCATGCTTTTATTTATCTAAATTTTTTGTTTTTATTTTGGACTTTTAGCGTAAATTGTGTGCAAAAACTGCATTTCTTCAGAAAATTCAGATAAGTAAAATCGTGGAATCTCTGGACAAAAATGTTTGAGCGAAAATTTTTTAGCAACCCGGTCCGTATATGACATTAATTCCTTCCTTTGAAATGTATGTCATGTGCATTTAGTCAAAGAGCAGCAAGAATAATAAAGAAAAGATAAAAAGAGGTAGTTTTCCTATAAACAAAAGTTATGTTAATAACTTTGGTGTGATTTTAGTAAAATTACCATTAAGTGTTTATAAAACTTTATCTGGGTCCATGTATAAATAAATGTTTTGTAGTGGTAACTGTGAGTAAAAATGTTAATAAAAAAACCTGTAACAAAAGTGTTTAAATATTTGGAAGTATTGTAAAATATTATTTATGTGCCTGAACTCCAATTTGTTATAGAAATTTTGTCTTAACATTTAATGTTCATGTAGATTGATGCAGTTTTATTTGAAGAATTATTCTTTTTATCATCCTAAATGCATTAAAAGACTTTTCATCCCCTAATGAGCAATAAATGTGTAGTTAGTTTGTTTGAGGTTGAGCTGTGTTCTAGAAAAACATTCCCAACTGAGTATAAGTACTAGATCAAATATTGGTTAGTCTATATTTTAGAAATTCTCAAAGCTTATTTTTGTGTTGGATGTCATGTAGGAAATACATTGCTTATTTTGTGCTGTACACTGTAAAATGGCTGCCTGTGATAAGGTTAATTTCTGTACAATTTGGAATGAATGGGAAAAGCAACATTAATTGACTGGTATGTAAATGAAGATTTACTTAGTAATCATTATAAGTGTCCTGCTTGTACAAAGGAAATGCATATGCATATGGTTGAATGTAAAGATCGTTCATATGGCTTTGAATGGGTTTGTTGCAAGAAAGATTCAAATGCTCACTATATAAAGTGTTCCATTAGAAAAAGATCATGGTTTGAGAAGGGTCATTTGAGTATTATTGAGATTTTGATTTTTACTTGGATGGTGAAAATGATAATACTAAAGATGAAGATAGTACTAAAATGATTAAGACAGAATTAAATTTGATTCTTATTTTTGTGAAATTATGTGGCGACGGCAGTATACAAATTCTAGTTCAGATAATTTTAGGCAGTTTTTGGATGCTGTTAAGGAATTCTGTGTGTCACACATATCGAAGGAACAAATTTTTAAATGAGTTGCTATTTCCTTTTTGTACTGTATAGATTAGATAACATGTATTTCCATTTTTATATTATTTCCTTGGTTGATTTAAAATGCAGTTTATTTAGATTATATATAATTTTTGTTTTAACTGTGTTTTATTGCATTATGTTTTGGATGCTATTTTACTGGGGAGGGCATTGGACATAAATAGGAATGGTGCCGAAAAATCTCGAATTTACGCCAAGCGGTACCCTGAAATATATTTTTATCCAAATATTTTATATTCTGGTTTTTATTTATAATGCCTTTTATGCAATGAATTCAAGTTTTTTAATTCTTCTTTTCTTATAGGGTTTGTCCTGGAAATTGCTGATAATTGTTGTCATTGTGATAGCCGTCCTATGCCAGTTAGAAGTACCTCAAAACAAATGGATTGCTTCCAAATCTCTCACTCTCAAAGCCTCAGTAGATGATACATATAATTTCATAACTAATTTGGATTATGTTGATAAGGTAATGTGTACTTGTATAACAAAAGAGTAGAAACCACACATAAAAATTTATTTCATACATATTTATACTTTTTTACTGTTTTTCTCATACTTTAATCTATAAATATTCTTGAAACATTACATATATTTTATTATAATAATTTGTATGTGTACCCAGGACTCAAATAATTTAGTGATCATTTTAAGGTAAAAATAATTACTTGTAAATAAATGACTTACAATAAGCTACTGATAAAGTTCCACATAAAAAGTTTGGTACAGTTTTCACTCTCTTTAATTAAAGCAGAGTGTTCATGTGAAATCATTTGTAAGCTGAAATAATGTATAGCAAAGGAGTAATTCTTATTGATTTACGTAAGGAAAGGCTTTAAGTTCTTCTCCATCTTAATTTTGTTTTAAATGTTATAAAATCATTCAAAAATTTTTTTAAAAGTTTAAAATAGCAGTAAGAGGACTATATGACAAACATAGGCAATTTAAATAGAAGTGAGATATGTATGATTCGATTTCAACTTCCAAAACTGAAAAGACAGTAAGTATACTGGAAGTTGTAAAGATTATGTATGGCCTTGATAGGGAAAAATACTTAATGTGTTTCCTTGGAGATGAAGTATAAAGATCATCTCTTATTTTATGTTTTATTTCTAAGAAATTAATGTGTCTATAATTTAAGATTGTGCATTGAAGGAAATGATAATTGTATTTTAAAAATTGCTGCGTGTATAAACCATGCAAATACTAAATACTGTATTTTTATTCTCTTAATTTGCTTGCATAATTTACGTATACTCTTTTTTTTTTTTTTTTTTGTCAATTTGTTTCATTCTTATCATTAGATAGCTTCTTATCTCTAATGACCGGAAACTTATTTCATAAGGAATTGCAGAGCTTAAATATCAGAAAATTTTGTGTGCATATAGATTATTCTTTTGCTGTTAAAACTGTGAAATTTCTTGCAGCTTGATCTTTAGCCTTACAGTTCAGCTGGAAACTTGTCAAAAACTATGGTTCTTACAAAGTAAAATATGCTGATTCATAATTTAAAAAAATTCAAATAAGGAGAAGTTTATATATATATATGTATGTATATAAGGTCTACCAGAAAATTCTATCTGTTTGGGAAGTTAAAAAAAAAAAAAAAATAGATTTTTCACACCTTTAATAATATTTATTGTGCAATGTAATTTCTGTTGTTTCTTATGCCTCTTGTCACTGGGATGGTGATTTATAAATACCATTTTTGAAAGATGTCTTGCCCCCAGAGACGAAGAACTTGAGTTGTGTTCAGCTGTCATCTGTATCAATTTATGATTTTTCTTCCCTTAAAAAAATTTAACAAGTAGAGAAACAAGTTATAATCAGAGGGTACTAATTCTGAGAAATATTGTGCATGTGTGTCTTTCTAAATTTAACTTTTTGTTAGTTTTTAAAAGCTTATGGTGTATTAGTCCTTGGACATCCCATCATATACCCAGTATTCTCTTCTTCAAGCTCAAACTCATTTTAGAGATGGAGGTGGCAGATAATCTGGGCTCACAGTATGCTGTTTTCCTTCAATTCAATGTTAGAGATACACTCATATATACCTCAGATGAACTTCTGCATGAGTGCTGAAACTTGAAATATCATTATTAAGTAGAACTTTGTATGCGTGTGTACATCAGAGGTGGACAAATTATGGCAATAGGTCTCGTATTAAAATTGTGGGAAGAGTGGCAAATAGATTTTCTAAGAGCTGCAAGTCCATATTTACTTCGATTAATCTTCGAATTATGGTAACTTGGCGAAAATTTGGCAACCAACCCTGCTACAGCAACCTGCTAGTTTTGTTTTGGACGCCATTTTGTTTTCATGAAGTAAAGGCTTTTTTTTTTTTACTCAACATTTTTTTCCAACAATCTGCTAGCCGAATTATGCTTATACTAGAACTTTTATGGAACAAAAATGCTTAATCATGATGAAGATTAGGTGGGAAATTGGGAGAAAGTGTAGAATCGCCCACTGCTTGCCGCGTTTTCAAGAATTGCATATACACGATATCATCCATGTATACGTTGACCTATTTTCACTTAAAAAAAATCCCAGAATTGCACAAAAATGGCATTGCGCACACTTTTTCTTTATCCATGTACACTGTTAAAGTCCTAGCTAGTAACCTTTATCGCCTTACCAAAATGTCACCAAACTACCTGTTACCATATTCCAAAGATTAGCCTTTACTTCAATTAAAATAGTGAAACAGCTTTGAATAGAAAGAAATGTCTGCACAGTAAATTGACAGAAATACTGCATTTTTTGTTTAATTAATATAATTTTGAATAATTATAAATATTGTATTTACTTGTATATTCTCCCTCCCTTTTTTTTTTTTTTTTTTTTTTTTTTTTTTTATTTATCATACAAAATTCAATGAAAATTATGTGAATAATTTTAATTTCCAAATGACACGATTACAGTAAGAGCGTAAAAAATGAAATACAGTACAAAGTCTTTAATCTGGACTCGCATGTTTCATAAATAAATGTTCAAAACTTTCTTCTCCTAAATACTTGTAGAATTTTCAGCCACCCGAAAAATAGTTGTACCAGGCATGCAACTAAAATTTTGCCAACATGTCATAAATCACTTAATTACCACACAAACCAACTAGCAAATCCAAGTTTCCATGTAAAAAGGGTTGCCATTGAAACCAACATTGCCCCCAAATCCATTGCAGAACAAACAGAACACTCAATCACGCCATAATGTAATGTAATACAAGGTAACCAAACATGTTCATGCCATTTCTGATATGACATAAAAATAGTCCGATGGTGATAAAGTAGTTAGGATAGGAGTTCGGACATTGGCCATGAGTATAAAAGCGCATTGCATGATACTTCAAACATAATTCACACAGTGACTTACTGAAATGGACATGTCAAAAGCGCTCATTCAGAGTTGTATGCTGTAGAATTTTAAAGTGGACCTGTCGGCAGCAGAATCTAGTTGCCGAATTTGCTAGGCTTTTTGGGATGATGCCGTTAATGAATGAAATGCTAGGCAGTGGTTCCAGAAGTTCAGGTCAAGGTATATGTCTCTTAGTGAGGCACCACGTAGCAGATGGCCACAAGCAAGGGACGATGAGGCCCTGAGAGGAACCATAGAGAGTTACAATAGCCAAAAATATTGTGATGGGCTTGCTGCACTCTTCCAGGTATCTGATGAAACTATCAGACTTCGTTTGCACCTCGTAAGAAAAGGCATACAATCTGAGCAAGGGGGTACCCCACTCACTGTCCGATGCAAACAAGCAATAGCGTGTTTTTGCCTGTTTGTCATTGCTTACTCAACACCGCATTGCCTCCATATTTATTTGATCGAGTGAATGAAAGTGGGTCCCGCATGACATACCCAGGTATTCCAGAGATTGGTTTTCACCACGGGACCCTGTGCCTCCCACTGCAAAACCTTCTCTCCACTCACACAAGATCATGTTCTGCATCTGGTGAACTAGTCTCCAAGTGCACTATGAGCTCCTGCCAGTGGGCCAAACCATCACAACATGTTTGCAACTCTGACATTTCCGTCAGGCCTGGAATCACTTTAATAATTCGAGCCAAAGACCAATTGCAGATGTTAAGTTGAGAGTACTTTAATTAAATTAGCATACTAGGAGTTAAGTGGGGCCTTTTAAGCCCCCACTTAGAGTGCTATTGCAGATGGCTCAGATAACTGTTTCGCCAGCATTTCCAAATGGTTTGAACTAATTTTTGAGTCCTCTGTCACCTGCTTAGAAGATTATCTCTTTTGTGAATTAAGCTTAGTTCTGGGATGGAATTTTATTGGTTTTCCTATTAGAAAATGTTCCAAAAGTTAACATTTGAAAATCATCTGTATCAGAAATAGATGAGAGTGGCCACAAATTGAGGATGTCCTCGATCTGAACTATTACAGAATTCTTCTAGAGTTAGCTTAGTGGAGCCTACTACTCTCTTTAAATGGTACTTGAAGGCCTTCACACCCACCTCCCAGAAGCCTCCGAAATTGGATGCCTTAGAAGACAAAAATCTTCACCTGATAATTTGAGGCAAACAGGCTCAAGATGTCCACTTTATTTAACATTAATTTATGCAAACATTTTAACTTTGCAGAAGCTCCAGTCAAGTTCATAGCATTATTGCTAAGAATTATTGAACTTTTGCAGTGACATGCAAAAAAATCTCTTTGAGGTAGCATTTAGAGCTTCTGAAGTAAGATTTGACGCAAATTCCATATGAATAGCTTTATTTGGGATACATATAAATATAGTTACATAGATTATCTGAAAGGTATCCTTTCTCTGCCCTTTGCATTTGATTTCAAAGGGTCTACTTAAATCTGCTCCTAGGTTTAAAAATGCGGAACTAGGCATTACTCATTCTGAGGAAAGATCAGCATAAATTTGGTTGCAACAACTAGGCTATTCTTGAAGGCATTCCACACAGTCATGGACGACTTTTCATTCCTTACTTCTGCCACCAATTTACCTGTATTTAAAATGAACAATATTTAGTAGGGCTTGAGAGTCTATGTGAAAATCTTGCTTGTGATAGTATTGAAATATTAGTTACTAATTTATTTCTGGCTGGCTGAACAATTGCATATTTGCGATTGAAATTTAAATTTGAATGTGAAAATCTGTCTGCCAACTCTTATTAATCCATTTGATGGATCTAAAAAGGGGTTAAAAGTTTACTCATAGGTGGAACTGAAGATCCCCTTTCTAAAATGGATATCTCCACGGAAAAATACTTCAACCAGAGGTGTTGTAGCAAATAATTTTCTGCTCTTTCATATTATTCTTATGTAAGACTCTCTGTATAGGATATAGGGCCCACCAGCGGCCGAGCGAGTAAAATCGCTGAACACTGGTAGTTCGGTCCGAGGTTCGAATCCCGCGAACGGCTGGCTGATGGCGTTTTTTTCGTGGTTTTTTCCCATGTGTAACGTGTATACGATGAGCCAGTTTCCCTCAGAAAG